TGACATCATAGGCCTTCTTATCATCAACTTCCTGAGTAGCTTCCTCAAAAAACTACAACAGCTGATGAAGCATCTCTGGATGCGAAACGTTGGGACTTTGCATCAAGATCTTTAAACCTCATAAGTGAACACAGTGTTTAATTTGTGATTTTATGGAAAATTAAAAACCCTCCCTTTGGAAGAACTTTTATTTTGGTTATTTTAATAAAGATTAATTTTTTACCAACAATCCAAGTGGGCCAGACAGAAATCAACATCTGCTGCTACTAAACTACAACGGGGATAACACAATATCTCAAAGGACTAAATGGACTACTAAGTGCAGACTCACTGGAGGATCCACCAGCTTGTTTTCAGGAACAAAGGAAATTGCAGGATCCGGGGATGAGGGCCTCGGCCTGAGGCCTCCTGCAGCTGGACACAGCACCCCCAGAGCCTGTTCATCCATCTGGATACAACCTCAAGGACTTTGAGACTACTATCTTGGGATATATCACATTACAGTGGTGAGATCCTTTTGATTTCTTTCCGGTCCTTTTAGTAGGTGGCTTGTTTATTGTTTGATTATGTGTACTACTCAAAATAGATTCTCTGTTCTGGTGGATCTTGAACAGGCCCAAAATATGGAACCTAGTGCTCAACATTACAACAGGGTAACTAAGGCTGATACTTTTGACAAAAACACCACTAAAATATATTTTAAATTTATACAAATTACCCATCATCTTACAATAGTTGAACAGAAGCTTCAGAATAATGTATTCCCACCAGGGATGCTTAAACAGGCCATTAAACTAGCCCAGTTTATAAAACCAGCTATGCCCACAGAAATTACCTGTAATAGGTTAATGGATAACACCCTCTCCTGGATGGAGACTAATATGAATATCCTGCTGGAACACTATGTACAGAATAAACTAAATCTAGTGTCCAAACTGGACAGGTGGAGGGAGGTTGAATGGGAAGTGGCCCATAAATGGGCATAGAATAGGTACAGAAATAAACTGAGGCCTAATACTTTAAAACTTACAGAACAAACTATAAAGACTAAATTAGATTCAAAAACACCCCCCCTCCCCACACAACTACCAATAATGGTGGGATTGGCCCTAGGAAAGTGGTCTCTCTGCCTACTTTTACTCAATCTCATTCTAAATCACAAAACACTGGCAATAAAATTGAACCGTCCAAGCCTCGTGTTTCACTAGGCTCTAGCTGTCGCCCTAGACAGCTACAGGTTCAGGCTGAGGTACACCATATTCCACAGAATGTTAGTGGTACCTCGTTTATTAGTCCCAATCACACTCAGATTTCCCATACTCACCTACAGGACTCTTCTTCCATAGGTCCCTGTACCCCAGAAGGTAACTCTCTGGAGGAGCAGACACACCTAGGGGGGAATAAAATGATGTGCGGGCAGCAGAAGGGAGTTTCTCCCATTGCTCTGGCCCACTCTGAGCTCCCCCCTCAACATTATACATACACATCATCAATATACATACACCTCAACTCCCCCCTTAAATAGGAGTTGAGAATCACATCACACAATTTCCTAAATTACCATCTCCGACCTCCTCCATTACTTCGGAGGAGGAGTTTAAAGATCTCATTAGTGAGACAGTTTGTAAACCATATAGACATCACAACACAGATAGAAAAAATGTGGAATGGTCCCTTAAGGTTCATAAACCTATTTTGTTTATAGGGGACTTAAATCTAAGCTGAATACCTTCCATCAATGATCCTCAAGTACAGGTAGATAGCTTTCCTGGGGCCAAGTTTAGCCATATCGCCACGGTACTACAAAAACTACCCCCCCAGCCATCAGTACAAAAGGTAGTTCTATCAGTTGGTTTAAACAATCGGGAACAGGATCCCTACAAAACAGCAATAAAACAATTACAGGCCTTATGGAGGGTAGCTCATAAAATCTTTCCTAATGCCTCCATCTATACTCTAATTATTTATTTCTCTGATCTTATACCTCTACAACATCAAAACAATTTAAGGGAAGTCAATAAATACATTGAGTCACATGGTTCGTCATTGCTGGAATTAAATCGGTTGCGTTTTAAAGTGGACCCTAGGGACCAATCCACTGGACTAGAGATACAGCTACGCAAATTTTTTAATTCTGGAGTGAATAGCAAACTATTAAGGGTGGAGACGTGTCTATCTACAACACTGCACCCCAGTAATATTTTTAATCTATCAAAAACATTTGTACTTACTTCGGAGGAAAGGGACCTTCTAGAGAAGGGACTCACCTTCATTCCGACCCCTAAACAGATGGACAACACAGAATTGACCAGGGATGTTTATTACTACAATAGAAAATTTAAAATATTGGACTATTTTAATTACAAACAACAATACAGGGTGGGCCATTTATATGGATACACCTTAATAAAATGGTAATGGTTGGTGATATTAACTTCCTGTTTGTGGCACATTAGTATATGTGAGGGGGAAAACTTTTCAAGATGGGTGGTGACCATGGTGGCCATTTTGAAGTCGGCCATTTTGGATCCAACTTTTGTTTTTTCAATAGGAAGAGGGTCATGTGACACATCAAACTTATTGGGAATGTCACAAGAAAAACAATTGTGTGCTTGGTTTTGACGTGACTATTCTTTCATGAGTTATTTACAAGTTTCTGACCACGTATAAAATGTGTTCAATGTGCTGCCCATTGTGTTGGATTGTCAATGCAACCCTCTTCTCCCACTCTTCACACACTGATAGCAACACCGCAGGAGAAATGCTAGCACAGGCTTCCAGTATCCGTAGTTTCAGGTGCTGCACATCTCATATCTTCACAGCATAGACAATTGCCTTCAGATGACCCCAAAAATAAAAGTCTTTATGCATAAAGA